TCGCGATTTTTTCGGTATTGCTTTGCAAAAACGAGAAATACCGCTCTGTGAAGACCAAAACCATACAAATACCGAGTTGTACCGAGTTTTTCTACAACTCGGTACAACTCAGTACAACTCGGTACAATTCGGTACAACTCGGTATTTGCTCGGGATTTGCTCGGTATTGCTAGGGATTTGCTCGGTATTGCTAGGGATTTGCTCGGTATTGCTAGAAAAAAACTCGGTACAACTCAGTATTTGCTCAGGATTTGCTCGGTATTGCTAGGGATTTGCTCGGTAATGCTAGGTATTTGCTCGGTATTGCTAGAAAAAATTAGGTACAACTCGGTATTTGCTCGGTATTGCTAGGTATTTGAAATATATCCAAAAGGTGATGGGATGTAGTTCGGCTCGTCAAGGATTTAAAAAAACGCACGTGCGAGAACCCAAAAAATAGCGGGTCGGGTCGGCGACTTTTCTTCATGCTACGTGGCGCTAAAATATTAATGGCCGAACGTAGAGGAGCGTACGTTCACCGGACGAAATAAAAGTTCCTGATTTAGAGAGATATGCGAATGCTAAAATTATAAAATGAAAGACATAACAGATTCTTTTACTTCTATAGCCACATATACTTCAGCTAATAGCAATCAAACGTGTAAAGCACACACCACTCAAATCTATTTAATACCATGGTTGTACTTCTCTCATACATGAATAGATTTTCCATCTTCTCTGTTCTGTTCTCCATCTCTTATGTTCTTGATAAAAGGACAAATTGACTTTAATTTGAAAGAAATTTGATTTAGTCGAAATCATATTGGTTGAAATTATCCTGGTGTGATTGAATTAGACCATTTGAATACATTTTAATGAAATTCAATTCAATTAGATATGAGCTTATTCAATTTGAGTTAATCGAGCTTAGTTTAAATTAATTTAATACAAATGAAATCTTATGCATCCTCAATGAAATTTATTTACCTTGACTCAACTCCAAAAGTGAGATGACAACGATTATAAATTTCATTTCGAAAATGAGGACAACAAAGCAAAGAATTGCATATTATCAAGAACATTTTTTTTAATAACAAAATAAGATTAATTGAATAATAAAATGAAGGGTACAACAACAAATGACCAACAACCCAAAATACAAAACAATGAAATCCCAAAAAATCAAACATAGTAGGAAAAGCAACAGAAGGCGACTCAGGAACGGAGACCCCAGCACTAACCAAGCAGCCAAACACGAACCATCCGTAGGTGACAGAATACAATCGCAAACCAAAATCCAAACACGAGGCACTTAAATTGCCAACCAGCTCAGCCAACAAGGGGCAACAGGGGCCTCCTCATCATTGTCCAACAAACCATCAAAAGGAACCAACATAATCACAAGAGCCAAAAAAAAAAAACCTAGTTCTTCTTACCTTTTCTTTTTTGTTTATTACCACTCGCATTAAGAGCACCATGCCTAGAAGAATTATCCTTCTCAAATTCATGATACTCAGATTCTTCTAAAATCAACTAGTTAGTTTGAACCAAAATAGAGTTTTTCACAGACTTAACCACCTGCTAATTCATTTCCACATTAGACATTACCGAAATAGGTATATTTAACAAATTGACATTGCCCTCCAAGCCTTCAAGAGAGGAGGAAACATTTGGATTCACGGGACACCCAGGTGATGGCAGACCACCAACAGATAAAACATGAATAGGGGAAACGGAAGAACCAGACTACTCAATGACCACACCAGGTAATTCCGTCGTAGCCAAACCGCATGGGATAGGCACCGCACAAGATAAAACAGGTTTCAAATTCACACCACAATTCTTAAAACCAACATCACTAACACATAAATGAGGGGCCTGGTCAACATGAACATCCCCAACCACTACAGAGTCCACCTGGGCTAAATTAGGAATAAAAACAGCAGGTGAACCCAAATTCTCCGAAGGACCAAAATTAACGGCCGCTGCAGCATTCGAAGAATTATCTACATCAAGAGACAATACAATAGGGGTAGGGGGAGAAGAAGAAATTAACACAGGATTATCCAAACCCTTGATAGGAGCCTTATTAGGACTGTCCCCCTCCAGAACAAAAATATTCCCTGTAACAGGTTTAGCAGGCACAACACACACAGCTAAATAATCGACATTGGCAACAACAGTCGTAGAACCGTTAAGAAAAACAATCCCCAGGGAGACAGGAGACACAACAAGATTAGCAAATGACTTGACTAAACCAATGTTCGAACCAGGTTCCATAGTAATACCAGAATTTACATTTATAATAGGCTCAGGAACATGACGTGCCTTCGCCAAACGCGAATGCAAAATCAAACACTCAACATTAGAGTGACCCAAAGCTTTGCAATGCAAACAATAAGACGGAACATCTTTTAAAACAACCGATTGAACATACCCTAGATTATCCAGGCCAACCCAAACTTTGTCCGAAAAATGCTTTGAAACATCCAATCAATCAAACCATGAGTTGCAGAGGGCCTAGAACCAATAGAGGTGACCTGATCAATTTTGAGAGGGAGGCCAAAAATGGAAACGATACCCTAAAGGATCCTAGGAGAGAATATATGGGGTCGCAAATTCAGGACAGACACCCAAATAGGGACAATAGGGGATTCAACATCCACATCAAGCGAAGGCGACCACTTGATCAACTGCGTATAGGCAATTGTTAATAAAATAGGAACGATGCGCAAATACACGATAGTAATCCAAATCTTTCGCTAATTTAATCAAGATATTCTTAGCATTGTGCACAAACGCAGAGAAATCACCATTGAGTTTAAGATTGAAAAAAAATTCCTAATAGCATCAAGGGACGGCCGGTGGGACATAAACTTCCCAACCAACGGGAACTCAAAACGGAGTGGCTAGAGAAAGAACCTCAGCCTTAGAAATCCACAAGGAAGGCATCCCACGATGAGTAGAAATCATCAAATCAGAGAAGGAAGAAAACTACTCTAAGGAGCATCTCTAAAATACTTAGAAGATGAATTACCCGTAAGAAAACTGGCATCAACCAACTTCAAACCAGCCATCGAGAACAACAGACACGAAAAAATAAATAAAAGGAACAATGAAGGCACAAGATAAGAGGGAAAATCACTTTCCTGGCCGAACAGAAGGCGGTGGAAGGCGCAGACACAACAGGAAAATCGAAATCGTCGTGGGGGGAAAAACCCTAGCAGAGTGCATGAGGAAAACTGGCCTCAGGGTCAATAACATTATGGTTCTTAATAATGAGTTCTCCTACTTCACCTGTAATTTTATTTATAACATACTCAAATACAACAAGAAGCCATTTACTAATCTTAATTAATCTTTAGGAAGAGTTTGATTCCACTGAGTTTAAATTTCATCACAATAAGTTGCTCTTTATTTAACAAGCACTCGCTAAAGCCTTCAAAGTAACATCAAGCAAGTAAATCAAAATAAAAAAATAAAGCTTTATTCAATATTTTTCTGCTTTTGCTGGCAAGCTTCCCTATATTCCAAGACCATGATAATTTAGAAAACTCTATTCACATTCCTATTAATTAATATTTATCAATTTTATGTGGGTCTTCGAAATTTTTTTTTCTATCCTTTTTTTATGTGGGTCTACAGATTTTTTTTTCTCGATAAAATTTATGATGGAGCCTAAGAGTTAATAAATATAAAAAGATACAAGCCCTTAATAGATCAAGAGCCCTATAAAAATACAATATTTTAAGCAAAACCTAAGAGCCTAGCTATGATCCAACTAATACAATAAACAAAATCAAATGCAAGGAAACAAACAAGGAGCCAAAAATGTTAAGTTCAAGTTTATGTTACAAAATATTTTCTAATCAACAATCTCATAATTCCAAAGTAATGTGTAAGTTCGCTTATACGACATCCATTTTGCATCAAATCAATATTATTGGTCTAAATCCATTTTTACAACATTATATAGGTTTCAGATGTAAGGCTGCTCTTACAACATTAGTTTTGTATTAAATCAGTTTCCTAGGTTAATTTCTTAGAATTCAAATTAAGGATAAATATGCATGTATATAAACTTAATTTTAATACATCAAAATTTTAAATATAAAATTAATTCTCCATTATAAAATTCACATCTTCACATGTGAAATTGAAATTGAGCATGACATCTATAAAAGGTTCCTCAAACAAATCTGATTGATTAATTTAGGAAATTAGCATATGGATGTACACTACTAAGTGGCAGACAAGACTATTTTACTGCATTTGATGTGCTTTAGGAGCTTGGTACAGAAGTAAGAATATTCTCTTTCTCATTGATGCCACTTTAGTGGATTATAAAATCATTACATATTGTAAACAATTATTATTTTTTACTTTA